AAAAAAAAAAGATAATTATGATTCACTCTATTGATCTATCTATCTTTTAAATTAATTAATCTTTTAAACTTTATTTTTCTGCCATGGAATAAAAATGTTAAAAAAGGTAATTATGACTTTTCGTCTCAGGTTGTTTATATATCTCGCAATTCTCAAAAAACTTAAACTTATTTTATTTCAGCTAGCTGTCAAAGTGACATTTCTCATTTGCATTAAGTTAGACTTGACATACTAAGATAATTGAAATAAAAAAACTAATTAGACTTTTTTTCTTAAACAAAAACAGAATTACTAAAACTTAAAATTAAAATGGAAAATATAAAATAAACCTTAATTCAAAATGTAAAAAAAAAAAAATAGTGGTATTCTTTTCATAATTGCAAGTTTATATCTTTTCTTATATCTTATAGTTTTTCTCTGAATTGTGAGAAAGTCACAACTGTTTTTCCGTATTGTTTAATGCAAGTTAAACATCTCTCTCTCGTCTGTCAGGAATCAAGCAGTTCTTCCTCTGACAGTTCCAGTGATGATGAGAAAAAGACAAAAAGAAGAAAAAGGAAAAGCAGGTACAATGCAGCTTAAAACCATGAAAAGTTCTAGAAATCATCAGATTTCATGTGTTTTTTATTAAATGCAGACAAATTCATTAGTCAACATGAGATGACGTAACTGGTATTGAACTCGGGACTGATTTTGATTTCATGTTAATGTTTCAGAGAAGTTCATCTGTCAGTGTGTCGAAACACTCATTATAGTCATTAAGTGAAGTCTGCTATTGTCCGACACTAACATCTGACTCACTCTTGGAAACTAGTTTGAGTTCAAGGGTTAAAATCAAATTCACTCAGTGAGCTCATTATGACTTCCAGGATTCAGGAGGCGAGTCTGCATCGGACGCAGAGAAAGAGGAGAAGGTAAGAAACCGGAGAATTGAGCTGAAGTCTCTGTTTGATCTCCTGTGAGTGAGTGTCAGTGTAACTCATGCTGCTCATCTTCTGTCTGTCAGGAGCTTGAGCTCAAACAGGAGGATGGAAAGCTCCCAGAAGACGCATCTTCATCTGGTGGACGCTTTAGTCTGTTCATTTATTTGTGCAGATTTGAGTCTAGTTTAACCCTGTTTAGGTTCTTTAATCCCAATTCTGGGTGGAGAAAGCAAAGTTTATATAACTTTTACCAGGATTGACACAGTCATGAATTCTTAAATTGTAATTTTATGGTTTGCAAAAGTCATAATGTATAATATCTTAAGTTTCATGGAAAGTTCTTTAGTAATATAAAGTATTTTTATGTTACTTTTTTATTTTATTTTAGTTTTGTTTATCTCTGAAAAAGTTAATGTCTTGTCGCAAAAGTCACATGTAACGTTTTTTAGTAATATAATAAGTTTATTTTATTAATAATTGTCTAGTTACAAGTCATGAAAATGTGCTTATCTAAACGTTTATGCAGGGTTAAACATAAAACCATAAAAAATGTACTTTAAATAAAATTTAAAATATACTTAAAAATATAACTTCAAATAAAACAGACATTAAGTGAAATAAAATAGAACAAACTTATTTTATTCCAGATAGTTCCCAAGAAAAACATTTCTCATTTTTATTTAGTTTAATTTGATCTACTAAAATAA